TTCCGGTGTACCCATAAACGACATCCCTCTTAGAACTGAGGCAATATTGAGTGGGTTAAACATAACCCCGTCTTTGGTACTGGGCGTTATCTCTAATTTAGATCTCAACAAAGCTAGTAGTGGAGACGGGATACCAGCCATTGTCTTGAAGAAATGTGCGCCTGAACTGGCGCCCGCCCTTTCTAAACTATACAACTACTGCCTCAAGGAATCTTGTTTTCCTGACTGCTGGAAGTCCTCTTCGATCGTTCCTGTCTTTAAGAACTCCGGCGACCTCTCTGACCCTTCCAACTACCGTCCTATCAGTCTCCTTCCCCTCTTCGGCAAAGTCTTCGAAGCCCTGGTGGTTAACCACCTCACATCCCATAATCTGCTCTCAGACAAGCAATATGGTTTCCGCTTTGCCCGATCTACAGCCGATGTGCTTAGGGCCATCACTGAAACAGTCTACCGAGCTCTCCAAAATAACGGGGAAGCCCGAGCCGTGGCACTAGACATCTCCAAAGCATTTGATAGGGTTTGGCATGCCGGCCTTCGCAAGCTCCAGGATTATGGCATTTCGGGTCGATTATATAACCTAATACGATCATTCCTGTCAAACCGTAAATTGAAGGTCGTTCTCAATGGATTCTCCTCCAGTTCCTATCCCACGAACGCAGGTGTTCCTCAAGGCTCCATCCTAGGTCCCACTCTATTCCTTACCTACATAAACGACCTTCATGACGCAATAACTTCCCAAGTTGGCATCTACGCGGATGATACCACAATTTATTCCTGCCTCAAAAACAAATCTAGTCTCGTTGACAAAACTCGCATGGCCGTGCGTCCCGAAAAGGACCTCCAATCGATTGTGAACTGGGGCATGAATTGGCTGGTCAACTTCAACGCTTCGAAGACAAAACTGCTCTCTATTAATCACCACAGAGATCCTTCCCTTCCCTCCATTAGAATGTCTGACGCTCAACTTCTCGAGAGCAACTCTCTGCGGCTTCTCGGTCTCACGTTGACTGCTGACCTGAGATGGAATAAATACATTGAGTCAATTGCCTCGTCCACTGCAAGGAAAGTTGGCTCCCTGAGCCGCGCTAGGAAGTTTTTCTCCCCGGAGTCGATCCTCCAGATCTACAAATCCACAATTCGCCCTTGCTGCCATATATGGTCTGGTGCCCCTTCTGTCCGCCTCGGGGTTCTTGATAGGCTCCAGAGGCGGATATGCAATTTGGTTGGCCCTGCCCTGGCGTCTCGTCTACAGTCACTTTCTCACAGACGCGCCGTCGCCTCCCTCTGTCTGTTCTACAAATACTTTCATGGAAATTGCTCCGAGGAGCTGCATTCGCTGGTTCCCAGACGTCATGAGTTCCAGCGCCCTACGAGGCTGGCATCCCGCTCTCACCCCTCCACTGTCGAAACTCCTAAATGTAGCCGTCTCTTCTACTCTAATAGCTTCATGTCTCGCACGTCTCGCCAGTGGAACTCCCTTCCCTATTCCAGTTTCCCTGAGAGCTATAATCTCCAGTTATTCAAGTGTAATGTCAATCGACATCTCCAGTTGCCTTGATCTATCCACTACCATCATCCTTTCTTCTATCACTCCTATCTGATCTTGCTCTAAATTTTCTGTAACCCCTTGCGTCCTAGTGGCTTCCCGCCTTGCTTGGGGTGAAATGCTTAAAAAAATATATATATATATATATATACACGTGTGTAGAAACACTGGTATATATAAAACTTATATTGCTAAAATCTACAAAGGCCAGTCAAATGTATTATCCGTTGTTTTCTAAGGACATCGCATCAGATATCAATGAAGCACATCAAAATGAAAACAGTCTGCGGATTCCAAATCTTGTTTTCAATATAGACGCTTTTCTTTTTAACAGTGGTACGAAGGTCCGTACAAAAAAAAAACGAACGACCTATTATTCTTTAATTCCACGAAGTGTAAATATAGGGACCAATAAATCATAAAAATACTGAACACTAGATTCCGAATCTAGTTTTTTAAATAGAAGGGAATCTTCGTAATCGTCTTAAGAGAGTAGATAAAAAGTAATGTCTATAGTTCTATAATTATAAGATATCTAATAGTAAAAACACAAAATTGAATGCTAAAATGGACGCACAGGTTTCATGACTTCTCATCGTCTCTTTAATATAAACCCTGTTCTTCTCAATGGATGTATGAAACACGTTCAAACATTAATATCGGTTCTTTGGTCATTACAATAGAATTGATATTGGAAACAGACAAAAGCTGTCAAAATGACGAAAAATCTTTATATTTCGAATCTGCTCATCATCATATGGTAAAAAAAAAACTCTCAATTAAGTTTCCACCTTAAAATGAAGTCACGCATTTTGTTGCGGGCTTCCACAAGTTTTGATGAGATTTTATGAGCTGATGGTATTCGTGTAAATCCAAAGATATAGTAATTGAAAATGTTAGCAAACATACTGACAGGACATTTTACAAAAAGAAAAATAAGAAATCAAATGAAATATGAACAGTTCAAAGCAACCTTCATTGTCTTTAGTTGTGTACGCACATTTTTTCGGAAGCGAAAAGAATACGTCTTTTCATTATGGAAAGTCACCGAGAAAAAGTATGTTTCTTTCAAATCTCGCGCCGCCATTAATTATCGTCAGGTGGCGGTAATTCAAAATCTCACCTCCTGTGATTATCATCGGGGGTGGTAATTCAACAATGTATATCTCGGGAAGCGCCTTGGTTAATTTCTTGAACAGGTGATAATTTCACCTTAGACGTCATTATCATTGGACAAACCCTGTCATATGAAAGCCTAATCGTATATGGAGTTTTTCAACAGTCTCCGATACCATTCAGTACAGATATTTGAACGAAAACTAGACTTTACGAGACTGCAAAGACTACCACAGGTTAGTTAAAGTCGGTCACACGGTTTTGAATAGATTTATAAATATATATCATGTGTAATGAGGGCATCAACATGTTTTAACTTCAGAGTCTGTCTATATTTCTGAGATGAGGTATTATGTACAGTATTTACATTAGTCGGACTATTGTCCTCATCTTTGTCGCCATATTTGTCACAACGTTTCGGCCATTGTACGCTCCGGCCTTCTTCCAGTGGTTGGAATTTCGAACTGAACCCTTTATTTCGCTTTCACGTGCCATGGATGTCAGTTATCAGTTATCTCC